GGTCACTGTGAACCCTATTCCTACTCTCCAATGTATCTTCCTCTCCCCCTAAGTCATTCTTTTCCCTATCTCTGCCCTTAAGCGTATCTACCTCTCCCCCCAGCTTAGTGTCATCTGCAAACTTGCTGAGGGTGCAATCCATCCCCTCATCCAGATCATTAATAAAGATATTGAACAAAACCGGTCCTAGAACCGAATCTTGGGGTACTCCGCTAGAAACCGACCGCCATCCTGACATTGAGCCATTGATCAGTACCCGCTGGGCCCGGCCTTCTAGCCATCTTTCTATCCATCTTACCATCCATTTATCCAATCCACAATCCCTTAACTTGCTGGCAAGAATATTGTGGGAGACCGTATCAAAAGCCTTGCTAAAGTCTAGGTATATAACATCCACTGACCCCAGCTGAGATCTGTCCAGTTGACTCCAGTGGAGCTATGGCCCATTGACCTATCTGGGATCTGCCCATATTCCTGTTCTAAAACAGGAGATATTTGACTAACAGAAAGCCAGAAAAAACCCTCATTTCAGGTCAAACAAGTCGTTATTTTGGGATACCAAATGTTGCGATATTTTAGTTTTCCTTGTGACCAGAAACATGTCTGTGACATTTTAAAACCAACGAGTAGTCCTGCGGCACATTAGAGACTTCCAAAAATACATAGTGTCATGAGTTTCTGTGAGTTAAGCCCAAAGAAGTGGGCTTTTAAGTTGCAGGTAACATGAGACTTCATAATGTTTTACAATTGCTCTGAAATCAAAAGGAAATTTCCAAAGAAAATGTATCACATAGAAAAAACTGCCATTGTGTCTCCGTGCATTCAAAATGCAAAGTTTGTGTGTGTGTGTGTGTGTGTGTGTGTGTGTGTGTGTATGTGTGTAATTTTTTTCTGAAACAAATGAGATATACAGTCATACCGGAATACAAAATATATCAGAAGGATCGAACAGGTCGTGCTTGGGGAGAGGGGAGTGGCACTATATGTGAAAGAAAAGGTAGAATCAAATGAAGTAAGAATCTTAAAGGACCTTCGATGGTCCATAGAATCTCTAGGGCTATGTCTACACAGGCGAGATCTTGCTCCAGAGCTATGCAAATGAGGCTAAGCGTGGAATATCACTGAGCCTCATTTGCATACCTAATTTTTGCATACCGCCATTTTTGCGGAAGAGGCTCTTGCGCAAGAAGGAGCTGTCTGCACTGCCCCTTCTTGCGCAAGAAAAACCCTCTTGCGCAATGCCGTTACGCTGAGTATTTTCAGGAATAACGGCATTGCACCAGAGGGTTTTTCTTGCACAAGAAGGGGCAGTGTACACAGCTCCTTCTTGTGCAAGAGTCTCTTTCGCAAAAATGGCGGCTCATTAGATATGCAAATGAGGCTCAGCAAAAGTCCACACTTAGCCTCATTTGCATAGCTCTGGAGCAAGAAGCAGCAAGATAGTTAAAGTGACGCCTATATTTAAAAAGGGCTCTAGAGATGATCCTGGCAATTAGAGACCGGTAAGTCTAAAGTCAGTACCGGGTAAATTAGTTGAAACCCTAGTAAAGAATAAAATTGTCAGGCACATAGATGAACGTAATTTGTTGGGGGAAGTCAACATGGTTTCTGTAAAGGGAAATCATGCCTTACTAATCGGCTAGAGTTCTTTGACGGGGTCAACAAACAGGTGGACAAGCGGAATCCAGTGGATGTAATGTACTTAGATTTCCAGAAAGCTTTTGAGAAGGTCCCTCTCCAAAGGCTGTTAAGCAAAGTGAGTTGTCATGCGATAAGAGGGAAGGTCCTTTCATGGACTGATAACTGGTTAAAAGACAGGAAACAAAGGGTGAGAATAAATGGTCAGTTTTCTGAGCAGAGAGAGGTAACTAGTGGGGGCCTCCATTGGTCTTGGGACCAATCCTATTCAAGTTGGGCTCGTCTACACTGGTCCCTTTTCCGGAAGGGGCATGGTAATTTTTGAGATCGTAATAGGGAAATCCGCGGGGGATTTAAATATCCCCCGCGGCATTTAAATAAAAATGTCCGCCGCTTTTTTCCGGCTTTTAGAAAAGCCAGAAAAGAGCGTCTACACTGGCCAGATCCTCCAGAAAAAAGCCCTTTTCCGGAGGATCTCTTTTTCCTACTTCAAAGTAGGAATAAGAGATCCTCTGGAAAAAAGCCCTTTTCCGGAGGATCTCTTATTCCTACTTTGAAGTAGGAATAAGAGATCCTCCAGAAAATGGCTTTTTTCCGGAGGATCT